GGGAGCTGAGAGATATTACTGCAAATGGAAAATCTTTTATCCAGCAACTAACTACAAGCCGTCCTACTATGCTGTGAGATGCAATGACAGCGAATTGACTGTTCTGCTTGCAGTGTCAATGCTGTTGCTGGCAGAATCTTCAGTGCAATGTTGAAGGAATGTTAATCACTCACGGCAGAATGGTTTTTCCTCCGATGTATCAAAAAACACTTTAGTCACGGGGGGATGAAAATCTTTTATCCAGCAACTAACTACAAGCCGTCCTACTATGCTGTGAGATGCAATGACAGCGAATTGACTGTTCTGCTTGCAGTGTCAATGCTGTTGCTGGCAGAATCTTCAGTGCAATGTTGAAGGAATGTTAATCACTCACGGCAGAATGGTTTTTCCTCCGATGTATCAAAAAACACTTTAGTCACGGGGGGATTCTTTAGCGTTAAATAGCTTTTCCATTTATCAGCATAGTAACCTGTAGACCACAGTGTGAAAATTCAGCATTAGGTGATTGCACAAGACCAAATGACAACAGAAATCAAGTTAGTGCTGGATTTAGATCAAATTGCTTTTTAGTCACAAGGTGAATGTTGCAATTAGTTACTGATAAAACACAGCATAAACATGGTCCCTTATTCTCTTTGCACTCCTGTGAGTAAGCTAAGTCAGCGTGTACATACTCCCAGGAATGAGGCCTACACATAGCTGTTTTTGTCTCATATTTTAAGAGCCATCCTTTTAATAGCTAGTCTTTCTTGTCAAAACAAATGTTGCTCTGTAGAACAATAATCTCCCTTACTTTGGAAGTTGATTTCTGGGAGCTCGAGTATATTTTCTAGAGCCAAGGTCTCCTAATGTGGGAGGCTAAAGTTACACTTCTAAATCTATATTTGGACAAGTAAACAAGTGATCTGATTTTCAAAAGTGCAGAGCATTCAGCTGCTCCTGTTGAAGTCCAGAGGCCTGGTCTACACCAAAGGGGAAAGTCAACTTAAGATACGCAGCTCCAGCTACATTAATTACGTAGAGTCAGTGTAGCTTAAATCAAGTTTTCATGCCATCCACACAGCGGGAGCAAATGCTCCCATTGGTTTCCCTTGCTCCTCATGAGGAGCAGGACTACCAATGCTGATGGGAGTACCCTCTCAGTTCGAATTAACGGATCTTCACGAACATTAGAAGATTGACCTCCGGAGGGTCGATCTTCTCGTAGAACAGACAAGCCCTAAGGCTATGTCTACTCAGGCGGGTCATTGCGCAAGTAAGGCCGTTCTTGCGCAAGAATCCGTAGAGCGTCTACACTGCCCACCCGCTCTTGCGCAAGGAAATGTACAGTACGGCGTGGTAAGAGAGGGCTCCTTGCTCAAGAGCTACGCTCTTTTCCAACAGGTGTAAGCCCTCTTGCGCTGGAGCTCTTGTGCAAGAGGGCAGTGTGGACGCTCAGCAGGGATTTTGTGCACAAGAAAGCCCTATGGCTAAAATGGCCATCAGAGCTTTCTTGTGCAAGAGAGCGTCCACACTGCCATGGATGCTCTTGCACAAAAGCACAGCTCGCACATGGCACGGTGGACGTTTTCTTGCGCAAGAACCCTTGCGCAGGATGTTCTTGCACAATAAGCCGCCAGTGTAGACATAGCCTAAGAGTGCGTCTAGACTGGCAAGATTTTGCGCAAAAGCAGCCTCTTTTGCGCAAAAAATTGCCAGCAGCCTGCTGCTGTCTTGCCAGCTGTCTACACGGGCCGCTTGAATTTGCGCAAGAGCACTGACTTTGTAATCTACAAAATCAGTGCTTCTTGTGCAAATACTTTCACGCTCCCGCTCGGGAAAAAGCCCGCTTGCGCAAGAATACTTGCACAAGAGGGCCAGTTTAGACAGGGATGAATTGTTTTGCACAAAAAAAGCCCCGATGGCTAAAATGGCAATCAGGGCTTTCTTGCGCAAAATCATGTCTAGAGTGGCCACGGATGCTTTTGCGCAAAAGCACTTTTTGCGCAAAGGACCCATGCCAATCTAGACGCTCTTTTGCAGCAATACTTTTAGCAGAAAGACTTTTCCGTTAAAAGCATTTCCTCAAAATCATGCCAGTCTAGCCGCAGCCTAAGTGTTTAAGATGCTGAATGCCTCCTAGAAGTACTCCAATACTTAACAGCACCATGCGCTTATTCCACTATGCAGCTCCCCAAGGGTACATGAATTCTGCTCGCCCCTCCCTTCCCAAATCACCAAATTCTTGATTCAGCTGCTCCAACTCCTGAAGTACAGAGGTCCAGCTTTGCTGCCCTGTGCGGCAGCTGATATGGGAATGTACAAAGACTAGCTGAAGCCATTCAATCTATTTTCACGTTAATGTAAGCTAGGATTTATATCTACCTCTCCAGATGTGAAATGGTGTCATCTCACTCCCCTCCCAAAGGAAGCAGAGATTGTATTTGTTATGGGACTTTGCAAATAGCTCTGTCTCATGAGCCCTTTGGCTACAGGCACTGGAATGTTTGTTACATGTTCCGGGGAAGAAGCAGGGTACAGTATGACAGACAGCAGTGTGAGCCCTGTGGATTGTTAAAAGCCATCTCCGATACACAGCTCCACACTGGACACGAGATCATTCTTACCCAGGACAGGGCATGGCATGGGCTGGAAAGCCTCGCAGCTGGCGCACTTGCCATTCCTGTAATCGCGGTATGTATCACAGGGGTACGCGGTGATGTTGCAGCTCTTTCTCAAGGATGCCAGGTACAGGAAAACAGACCTCTGATGGTCGCATTTAAAATACTGCGATCCTTGTTGACACAAAGAGAAGGGATATTTTCATTAGAAATGTGTGCGTGGCAGGCACAATGCCAGTGCGACAGCAAAACAGGAGACACAACCCTGTTCAGGGACCGTAACAGCGTCCATTCTTAACACGAGAGGTTCACGGGGCCACGTCAAACCCTGCCCAGCAACTTGCTGAAGAGGATCACATCTTGGAAAGCAAGAAACTCAGAACCAGCGCCGCTTGTGCATCTCGCACTGTCCACCAGATGGAAGCACACACTGCGTATCCCACACTGCTCCTGGGCTGCACATAGATTAGCCCTCACCACTTCCTGGCTGTCAACCGGGACATACCTGTTCCTACCACGCTACGGGGGCTCAGACTCTACGCAACGGACTTCCATGAGACCAGGCCCAGAGTGTGGGTACGTTTACAATCCCCATCAAATGGCACCTTCCTACTCACCAGACACTAGCGGTTCCATGTGTCCCATCAAGCGATACCTGGCTATGGGAAGACTAGCCTCAGCTTAGCACTGCAGAGCCCCTGCGGGTATGCACAACTATGGCTTCTGCTCCACCTCGTGAATTAGTCACCAAGTTCTTCGCCGAGGGTGGTCACATCAGTGGCGCATTCCTGTTAAAAGTTCTTACAGAAGCACCTGATTGCATGGACTGTGCTGGAACCCGTAGCGATGTACTGACACCTGCTAAGAACACCCCCTCTCCAATTCGGCATGCTGGTGAGTAAGGAAGTTCTGTTAAAGACCTACAGCGGCCAAGCAGAAGGTCTGAGGCTGTGGGAGAAGGGCCAGAGCAAAGCCAATTTCCTGTGGGTGGAACGGGGCGTACAGATAGTTCGAAATAGGAAGCCTAGTCCAAACTATCTAGTTTGTGCCACGTGTAGCCGCGGGCACGGAGTCCGCACTAGCGGACATTTAAAAATGGCGGCGCCCGGCAACATGCAAATGAAGCCCGGGAAGTTCAAATCCCGGGCTTCATTTGCAAGTGCGGTATGCCTACATTACCCTCCTAGTTCGAACTAGGAGGGTAATGTAGGCATACCGCACTTGCAAAGGAAGCCCGGGATTTGAATTTCCCGGGCTTCATTTGCATAAGCGGGGAGCCGCCATTTTTAAATCCCCGCTGGTTCGAACCCCGTGTAGCGCGGCTACACGGGGCTCGAACTAGGTAGTTCGGACTAGGATTCCTATTCCGAACTACCTAGTTCGAGCCCCGTGTAGCCGCGCTACACGGGGTTCGAACCAGCGGGGATTTAAAAATGGCGGCTCCCCGCTTATGCAAATGAAGCCCGGGAAATTCAAATCCCGGGCTTCCTTTGCAAGTGCGGTATGCCTACATTACCCTCCTAGTTCGAACTAGGAGGGTAATGTAGGCATACCGCACTTGCAAAGGAAGCCCGGGATTTGAATTTCCCGGGCTTCATTTGCATAAGCGGGGAGCCGCCATTTTTAAATCCCCGCTGGTTCGAACCCCGTGTAGCGCGGCTACACGGGGCTCGAACTAGGTAGTTCGGACTAGGATTCCTATTCCGAACTACCTAGTTCGAGCCCCGTGTAGCCGCGCTACACGGGGTTCGAACCAGCGGGGATTTAAAAATGGCGGCTCCCCGCTTATGCAAATGAAGCCCGGGAAATTCAAATCCCGGGCTTCCTTTGCAAGTGCGGTATGCCTACATTACCCTCCTAGTTCGAACTAGGAGGGTAATGTAGGCATACCGCACTTGCAAAGGAAGCCCGGGATTTGAATTTCCCGGGCTTCATTTGCAAGTGCGGTATGCCTACATTACCCTCCTAGTTCGAACTAGGAGGGTAGTGTAGACATACCCTAATAGATTAGTAAGACAGGATTTCCCTTTCTAGACAGTGGGGAGAGGCGGGAGAACCAAAGCGCACACAGGGGAAGTGACTTTGAGCTCCATGCTGCCTTTCATTGCCAAGACAAGCATTATGTCTTCAGTGTTGGCATCTCCATTGCACCGTTACTTGTTTTCTACACTGGTTCTAGTCCCACTTAGGTTCTTACACTAGATTTGAGCCAGATATTATATAAAAATCCCACCTTCTCTAAATGTTTCTACAAGCTCTGAGGATAAACGTGATCACTGAGCTTTTGCATGCAGATTCGTGGAAATAGGTGAATTTGCTCCACAACAAATTCTGATCCCCTTGGCTCACTTGGCAGAGAGCAGAAAATCAAGGATGGAGCAGCAGAAGATTGTGGCTCAGACCTCCTCTGGGACAAATTGGTGTGGCTCCCTGGACTTCGGTGCAGCTACCCCATGATAGCGGGGGATCTGACTTTGGGTTGTCTTTCAAAAAGTTGGTTGTGATTGTTTTTTTCCTCTCAGTGAAGGTTTTTTCCCCACCATCACCTCCACTTCTTTGGTGATTGTTTGAAACCATTTTGTCCTCATTTCCCCAATGCAAAGTTTATTTTTATTGATTTATTTGAAAATATTTTTACCCTGCCTCTCTATTTAAAATATTCGAGGTGACTTACAGAGTTTTAAAACACAATATATACAAATGCAGAATAAAAGACCCCAAGAGGAGGGTATAAAAGTGTATTTCATTACCAGAAAATATCGTTTGCGGACAGCCTGGCTGGTCGGTTCCCCCATTGGCATAGAAGTCTATGTGTCCTAAAGCTTCTCTGTAGCCTAGTGCTAACAAAAGAAAATATCATTTTTAGAAAAATTAATAAAGTGCCAGGAAAAAGGAATTTCAAATGAAGAATTAGGAACAAATAGCAACGTGGATTCTTTTAGCATTGGATGGATCATCTGTGCAAGAGATTTAGCTTCCTTAATCTATTTATGCATCATTGAACTAAAAACCCCTGTTGTCGTAGCCCAGCTATGACATTAAGGGTATGTCTAGACTACAGGGTTTTGTCAACAGAAGCTTTGTCGACACATAGGCTGTGTCTAAATTACATGGCTCCGTCGACGGCATAGACTGTGTCTAAATTACATGGCTCCGTCGACGGAACCATGTAGATTAGGGTTATAGGCAAAGGGAAATGAAGCGGTGATTTAAATGATCGCGGCTTCATTTAAATTTACATGGCTGCCGCGCTGAGCCGACAAACAGCTGATCAGCTGTTTGTCCGCTCAAAGCCCTTTGTCGGCAGCCCCGTTATTCCTCGTAGAATGAGGTTTACAGACGTCGACAAAACTGCTGAGTTTTGTCGACGTTATGTCAACATAACTAGAAGGCAGTGTGGACGCAGGTATAGTTTTGTCGACAAAAGTCCACTTTTGTCGACAAAACCCTGTAGTCTAGACACACCCACAATGCCCACCATAAGACACGTGCATGGGGTGTATCTGTGCCCATGGTGGCTTCTCCTGCAGAGAAACCATGGGAGGGAAAAATCTAAGTTAAATGTCTCATTTTGTGGCATTTTTAGGGAATAAGTTTGCTGGGCCTTCAAGAAGATAAATGGATGGTCCTGACAGTGTTAACCCTGGGCTGTCTTCATGCCTTATCCAAGGGTAGCCCCTGGACTCTCAGACAGCTGCTGGAACAATCTGTAGAGTGAGGGGAGACTGAGCGCCATTGAATTAAACTGCAAACCCTCTGTATGGTGAAAACCACTTCACAGAGCCCCTTCTAGAGACTGATGACTCTTCTCCATGCAGAAGGAGATGATCCGGGAGTGGATTGTCCCCTCGACACACAGATGGGCCAGGTCTTGATCTGTTCCAGGAGGTGGATAATGAGTACAGAGCGAGTGAATGTCTGCGAGAGCTGGGGTGCGGCTGTTGTAAAAGTGAGACCTGGCCATTAGCGTGAGCTGCTGGGGTCTGGCAGGCGGATCGCGAGTGGGGGGGAGGAGAGTGCCACAGCAGGGAGGAATCACACGTAGGAGTGCAGATTACAGCAGAGGAGGGACCGAGGGGGGACAGAGGGTGGCTGGAGGCAGCCGGGGAAGAACGGGTCAAAGTCCAGGGCGGTGGCCAGGATACAGACTCACCTGGTGCAAGTGTTCCTGGCCTGAGGAGAAGAGCAAAGGGAAGCAGCATCATGCAAAGCTACATGGTGCCTCCCAGGTGACGATCACAGGGCAGGTTACAAGGGATGTGATGGCTTCAAGTTGGTGTGATTGGCTTTGCTGTTTCAGTTCCTATCTCCAGCTCCGAGTGATCTGTGCCCACTGCAAGCAGCAGTCGCCCATCTAGCCCTGGCCAGAGCTGGTTTTGAAGTGCTACTGCACAGGGACCACTCTGCCCTACCGCTCCAGGGACCGTAGCTCCTCTCCTTCCCGGCCAGCAAAGCACATGGATTCCTTCTACAGACTGGGATGTCACAGTGTTCCCTTGCTATGGGCCATGCCCCCGGGCTACCAGTCACAGCCCTCTGAGGAGATACATCCCCTTAGATCAAGAACCTAGCAGGGATAGCTCTTGAGTGAACAGTGACCCACTTTCTGAGCTGTGCAGAACAGGACCCCTCTCCCAGCCTGGCCTCACCCGATGATCGGAGTTAGGTCACAGCCCCGCACAGGCACAGAGCTCCAGGCAACGAGAGAGGTGCCCAGGTATTGTCCCCCATAGCCTTCTCCATCCTGCTGTCCAGGTCAGTTCCCGGGCGTCCCTCTAATGAAATGCAGGGAGGGAAGAAATGAAGTCTTACCGTCAATATCAGAATGAATGACGTCCACAAACTGGGCATCAGTAGGGTCTAGCCTTTCCTCCAGGGGCTTCCCGTTAAATAAGGGACCTGCGGGGTCAAGACCTGAAATGCAAAGTGAGGAGCTTGGCATGATTGTTTCAATGATTCTCGGTATCTATCCCTGGGAATGGGCAGTGCCCGCCTCCCATCCCACCGGGCACAGCGCGCTCACATACCGGGGTGGGCCTGAGAACACGCACACGGGGAGAGTTTTCCCTCCGTCCTAGTGAAGCACAAAAGAGAAACCTCCATTTGAGGCCCCTCGTGCTGAGCATAGGTTGCCAGGGATCCCCCTCAAGAGCGCGCTGTCCCTACTCGGAGTTTCTTCTGCTTCAGAGGGTGCCCAGGCTTCTACTTTTCCTGGCACGTAGCTGAGGGCTCAGCACGTCTGCTCTGGGGGCTAGTGTGACACCTGGCCTAGAAAGGGTTAAGCCTCCTGCTGGACAAATGACCCCAATCCAGCTTTCGGGGACTTACTGGGAGGTAATGTGTGTGTTGGTTTGCATGTGTACAGGCAGTCCCCGGGTTATGTACAAGATAGGGACTGTAGGTTTGTTCTTAAGTTGAATTTGTATGCAAGTCGGAACAGGTACATATTGTAGGGGAAACTCTAGCCAAACATTTCTCCAGAGCTCAGTTTTATTCTCCCACACCTCACTTCCCTCAGTCCTTTATTCTCAAGCTGAGGTATCTGCTGAGAAAAGCCGCTCCACGTCTCCCTGGTCTGCTGGGGGAGGGCGCTAGCTTCGCGTCTCCCTGGTCTGCTGGGGGAGGGCGCTAGCTTCGCGTCTCCCTGGTCTGCTGGGGGAGGGCGCTAGCTTCGCGTCTCCCTGGTCTGCTGGGGGAGGGCGCTAGCTTCGCGTCTCCCTGGTCTGCTGGGGGAGGGCGCTAGCTTCGCGTCTCCCTGGTCTGCTGGGGGAGGGCGCTAGCTTCGCGTCTCCCTGGTCTGCTGGGGGGGGCGCTAGCTTCACGTCTCCCTGGTCTGCTGGGGGGAAGCAGCTAGTGCGGGGTTGCCTCACCCCATTTGTAAGTAGGGATCCGATGTAAGTCGGATCCATGTAACCCGGGGACTGCCTGTATTGTCAGGGGGCTGAACACAGACACAGGCCTATAACCTATAGACTACTCCTGTAAGGACGCTTTGCAACTACAAAGCTCCTCAACGTTACTGTGAAGCTGCTCTCAGAACTGTGCTCCTGTCTTGTGTGTCCGTTGATCTTTGAGCCAGTACTCGCTCGCTCTCTTTTCTTTTTAATAGAGTTTAGTTAATAAGAATTGGCTGTAGGGGTGTGTGTGTGGAGTAAGATCTGAAACTGACCTGGGAGGTCAAGTGTCCAATCTCTTGGGACTGGTAGAACTTTATGTGAGTTGGGTGTCTGGGCAGAGGCCTATGGTTGGGGTGTGTTGCTGGCTTCTGGGTAACTAGTGAGGTATTGTAGAAACATAACATACAAAGATAAGACTCAGAGGCTATTTTGTGCTGGCTTGGTAAATCTAAGTATTGGAATATTCACCTGTTTAGGAAATGGCTTCCCCATGCTTTGCAGTTTGGCTCTAACTGAGTAACCTCCGTTGGCTCCCCTAGGACTCTGGGCACAGCTCAGCAGAAATTACTCAGCATCTCCGAGTAGCGTCCTTGCACCTGATGCTGTTGCATAAGGCCCAGCAGTAAAGTTGTGCTTTCTGTGTGTTCAGAACATAGGCCCGGCACTCGCTCACTAACCTTCACAGCATTCCCAGGAGCTCACTATGGAAAGTATTATTCAGCATATAGGCAAACTGAGGCAGAGGACAGAAGTGATTTGCCCAAGGCAGAGCACAGAGATTGGGAGAGGGGCTTACCTGTGATTCTCCCAAGTTTGCCATCATACATCTGTCCCACAAACCCAGCGATATGCGCTCCAAGACTAATTCCTATCATATAAACAGAGTCGAGCGATGCTCCGTCGGCCTGCAATTTAAAAAATGCCCATGATCATAGGTTACAGGAACGTTAAACATGTAAGAAACATCAAGAGGGGGGAAAACCACCCAGGTGGTTCCAGAGGTAATTAAATAGCCTGGTCTAATTTTACTTGTCAGGACTTCTCTAGTCTTTCCCAACACAAATGGAGGGGTCTCTTGAGACATAATGCCCAGTGCAGATTCCACTGAAATGAGCCCCCATTCACCCGTTGGGTATCACTTGCTCAATGCCCCTCCGTGAATCATTTCAGGGCCGGGACTAGGTTTCCATGGGGCAGTGATTATGCAGGGGAACGGTGATGAGTGCAGTGGCTGCTACCTAATTAATAATATACCTCAATTGCCAGCATGTGGTTTGAGACATTCATTGGCTAATTCAAAGACCCTAAGGCAAGCTGCTGAAGCCCATGGCTTCCTGCAACTATTAACTAACCTATGCAATATGTCACAGGAGCTCAGGTCTGGTCCTCCATGTCTGGTCCTCCATGTTTGGTGCCAAACACTTTTGGCACATGTTCTTCAATGATCCCGCCCATGTTCCCAGTCACCGGGTACCAGCCAAGTGAAATCAATGAGACTGAAACAATCTTAAGAATGTAAAATCACTTTAAACAAAGTAAAATCACATTTTCATTCATGTTTTTTCACTCGCTCTGTTGGGACCCTGATGTTTCATCGGAAAAAAGACTGTTCAGAAGCCAATAACGCATTATGTGGGTAGTGAGAGGGCAGGGAACCTGTTGGGTATGGATAAGCCTGACTGAGTCACCGGTGTCATTGTAACTAGTATGAGGCTATCTCCTATTTGCAGGGGAAGTGTAGCTCAGGCCTTGTCTACACTGGCAAGTTTTGGTGCCAAAACCTGCTTTTTGGCAACAAAACAGTGAGAGCGTTTACATTGCACTGTGACTTTTTTCGGGAAAAACACCCAGTTTTGGCGTCAAAAAACTTCCACCCCTGCGAGAGACTTTTGTCTTTTCCCCTCCCTTTATTGTTGACAAAGAACCAATGTGGACTCTGCTGTTTGTTTTGTTGAGAGAACTGGCTTCCCCCAGTATCCCACAATGCTTGGCCTGATGGCTCTACTCAGTGTTTTGTGATCTCTGCTGCTCTGCAGATGTGTGGCCCCACCCCAGTCAAAGCCCCGGGAAGTATCTGACAACTGAGTGAGCTGCTCCGTTGGCCCCACCCCAGTCAAAGCCCCAGGAAGTATCTGACAACTGAGTGAGCTGCTCCGTTTGGGGAACAAACAAAAAACAAACCATTGGAGTGCTCCTGTTCTGCTGCTGCAGGAGGAGGGCTGGAGAAAAAGCTGTGCTGCTTTGACATTCCTCAGCACAGAGAGTTCACGGAGCTAGGAGGGAATCCCAAGAAGTGCAGGGATCAGCTCTGCCTTCCCACAACACTGCACTGTGGGATGCTTACCCACAGTGCTTTGCTCTGTCTGTCCGCAGGGTGCTAGCCATGTGGCCATGAGTTGTCGATAGTGGGAGGCAGAAAAACTGGTTTGACTGGTTTTCACTTTAGTGCTATGGCTATCTAGCCATGTGGCCATGAGTTGTCGACAGTGGGAAGCAGAAAAACTGGTTTGACTGGTTTTCACTTTAGTGCTATGGCTACACTACATGCTTCTTGCGCAAGAAGCCTTTTGCGCAGGAGTTTTTGCGCAAAAACTTCTTGCACAAGAGCACATTGTCCACACTGCATGGACGCTCTTGTCCAAGAAAGCTCTGATAACCATGTCCACACTGCACGGACGCTCTTGTCCAAGAAAGCTCTGATAACCATTCACAGAATGGCCTTCAGAGCACCTGTGCTTTTTTCCGTAGGGATTTCTTGCACAAGAAACCCCTCTGGAGCGTCCACACTTGCCTTTTTGTGCAATAGCTGTAGCGCTAAAAGGAGTTATGCCTTATAAAAGGAGGTTTACCTACGCAGGAAAAAGCCCGCTCTTCTGCCGTTTTACAGTTGATTTACTTGCGTAAAAGTGCATTTGAGGTGTGGATGCTCCAAGGGGTTTTGTGCAAAAACCTTGCAGTGTAGACATAGCCTTGGTGACTTTTACATGTCAACAGCACTTTTGTTGCCAAACCTTCAGAATGTCGACATAGCCCCCGTGGGACACCTTCACATCCCACGTACCCAAAACATTCAGCATCCTCTTTATGTGGAGAGACCACTTAAGTGCATGTAATTTAGTGTTTAGGTCCTTACAATCATCTCATTTGTATTTCCTCTGCCATCCAAGTTAGTAGCTTCACATTTAAAACCATTCATCCCCGGATGTGAACTGAACTAAAATTCAGTCTCCCAGGGAGCCATTTCTGAAGTGGTTTCAACCAAATCTGTACTTTCAGATGTCCAAATCAGTACTTTCAGATGCCCCCTAACTTTTGGGACTTGTAGTTTAGGGAATAGTAGTGGGGTGCCCCCAAACTCTAAGGGTATGTCTAGACGACAGGCTTTTGTCGACAGAGGTTTTGTCGGCAGATGCTGTTGACAAAGCTTCTGTCGACAAAGAGCGTCTAGACTACATCCAGTTCTGTCGACAAAGCAAGCCGCTTTGTGGACATGAGAGTGTAGACGCAAAGGACAGTGTAGATGCAATAGCGCCTTCTGTCGACAGAAATCTGTCAACAAAAGGTGTTATTCCTCGTAGAATGAGGTTTACCGCCGTCGACAAAACTGCTGAGATCTGTTGATGTTATGTCGACAGAACTCGGTGGTAGTCTAGACGAAGGTATAGTTTTGTTGACAAAAGTGAACTTTTGTCAACAAAACCCTGTAGTCTAGACACACTGTCGAACATCCAGCAGTCTAGTGTGCCCCTGCAAATCTGATTTCTGAGGCACTTGAAAGCAAATCCTTAGAGTTCTGCATACAGAAATCAGGGTGCTTCAGATTAGAGGTTTTTTACAAATATTGGACTATGTAGCACTTTAAAGACTAACAAGATGGTTTATTAGATGATGAGCTTTCGTGGGCCAGACCCACTTCCTCAGATCAAATAGTGGAAGAATAGTCACAACCAGGTGATTCCTTAATTTCTTGGATAGTGTGAGGCAGAGTCTTTCACTGTAGTCAGTACAGTATGTTGATCTTAATGGATTGTTCACTTTCAGTCCTTTATAACACCTGATAAGTATTTTATACAAGAAACAGAAAAACATCAAGAATGACATTTCTAACTTAGAGGTGTCATTCATGCTAAAATTCGACACTCTATATCTGAGTCTAAACAAAGGATCTAGTTATCTTACCCATTACAAAGATAGCTTCCCCAATTATCACCTCTAATATCATTAGCCCACAGACATTCACCTCCCCCCCCATCCCCCTTCTGTTCTGAAATTTGATTTGTCCTTTTCATGTGTGTTCATTTTTTTTAAATTGTATCCTTTGGTATATATGGTTGTGACTATTTTCTTCCACTATTTGATCTGACGAAGTGGGTCTGGCCCACGAAAGCTCATCACCTAATAAACCATCTTGTTAGTCTTTAAAGTGCTACATAGTCCTGTATTTTGCTTCAGCTACGCCAGACTAACACGGCTACATTTCTATTACTATTTTACAAATATTGTTACTCCAAGTTTAAACTGAATAATTCTGTCAAATGTTAACATGCAAAGTCACAGTAACGATTTTGGCACTACATATCTTTCAGTTTACAATTATTACTTCATCTCTTTAAAGATCAATTGGCTTTCCCTCAGACTCTGTTGTATTAAATCCTTCCTTTACTCCGTTAGCTCCGTCACAATGATTGTAAACATCTAACTTACCACCATCTGGTCTATAACTGTCTTCAAGAATTCAGCCACTTTCTTAGTGTTGCTAGAAGCCCTGTGATAGAGCAGAGTGGTAGCCCCGCGGTTCCAGTCCACAATGATGATGTTGATGTCTTCTGCAGAGAGCAAGAGCTGCACTGTTTCTTGTATCCAGACGGGGGGAGAGCCTGTGGGTCGGTAGCCATGCACGATGAGGATGGTTTTCTTGGTCACGTTCAGATACTTGGAGCCGGTTGACGTGAGCGTTTCAGCGCAGTCCTGGTTTTGTCTTGTGTACAGCATTAGCTTCACTCTCAAGTCTGTGCCAATCAAAGCGCTGCTTATGCCCAGACCTGTAAATGCCGGGCATGCTTCTTCCGCGCCTGAAAACGGGGGATGGCAGGTCGTTATTAGTCACATTCGCAGCATTAAACAGCTCTCTGCTTTTTTCCTCATCAGCCCAAGCAAGACTGAAGGATTTTCACCATGAATTCCCTCCCTTCGGGTCACGCATTTCCCTCCTTTTCCCCTCAGCATCTACTGGGGCATCCAGGGAACTCAGCTGTATCTGCAGCATTAGGATGAAAGTCTCAGCCTGCACCTGCATGTCACACATCTGGCCAGCACCTTTCCACTGCCTCTAGCTCTGTGTGTGGTCCCGCTCTGGTCCTTCCCTTTGAAGCGCCTGGCGTTGGCCATAGTTGGGAGACAGAACACTGGGCCAGCTGGACCATTGGTCTGACCCAGTGGGGCCGTTCTTCTATGTCCTCTGCACTGTGCCCATCCCCACTGTGGCACCTGAATGCCTCCCCATCTAGGATGGACAAGTCAGAGCCCTCACAAGCCGTGCGCCTTGCATGTCATTACAAGGACACGCCAGCCGGTAAGCACACTCAGCACCTCTGTCTGACAGCCATATTAACGGCTTCCTTGCTCAGGTCTGGACCTGCTGCTAGGGAGACTGTGGGCCAAATTCAGGGGAGGCACGAGTGGGCACAGCCCTAATTAGTGAGTGATGACCCGGAGGCATTTGCAACCACCTTTGGGAGGGGAGGGGTGCGAGACCAGCAGGCTGGGGAAACGAGAACACAGCTACCAATGTAGCCAACCAGAGAGGCAACTCACACATGACATCCCTGGGCATCAGGTAATGGCCCACACCAGGAAGGGAGGAAACGCTGCTCCTCCTGCCCCACATGGCAGCTGTACTCCAGAGGCTCCCCGGTCCCTTTCCCGCTGATCAAGACTCTCTTTGAGTGACTAGGGATGGAGACAAGCCCTAGAGAAGAGTGTCTCCAGGTACCCGTACATCTTGGCAGCTCTTGATTGTGTGTCGTGGTATCTGGAGGCTCTTCCCCTTCACACAGCAAACGCAACCACAATTGCCCCGGGAGACCAGCCTACCCAGGGACCAGCTTGCAATTGGTGCGAGCGTTGTGCACTCTTTTGAAGAGCAAATCCAACGTACCATTCCCAGACAGGCGGCCTCGTAGAGAGACTTAACAAAACCTGAGAGTTGTGCGCTCTTTTGAAGAGCAAATCCAAAGTACCATTCCCAGACAGACGGCCTCGTAGAGAGACTTAACAAAACCCTTCCAGAAACGCTGAAGTGCTTCATCAGATCTGACCAATCGCTTCCATCACGCTTGCTGCTCCTAAGGGAGGTCCCACAGGCCCTAAGGAATTCTTCCCCTTTGGACTATGGCTGTGAGCCTCGAGGGAACGCCTTTGGCACCTGGGTTTATTTGCTAGTGAAAAATCTACAGGCAGCACCTCAGAGCGAACAAGGTTGTAACCGAGGGGCGTGGCTGAGTACATCCCTTTGGGGAGCCTGAGTCCTGTTGCTGATACTGTCAGCAGAGTCTAAATCAATGGCCTGTTGGCAGGATCCTTACGAGGCAGCTAGACAAGTAAGACTGTTCAGTTATGAAATTCAGTTCCCAGGAAGAAGAAGCGAGATCAGAATCTACCATGCAGGGCCGGCCTTACCATGAGGCCAACTGAGGCGGCCGCCTCAGGTGCCAGACTGGGGGGGGGGCGCCCCTAGGACCCAGAGAATCGAGACCTTTCAAAGTTTTGGCCCAAGCGAGGGGGCATGGGGGCGTCATTTGAGCTCCCTGCCGCAGGTGCCAAAATGTTGGGAGCCGGCCCTGCTACCACGTGAGTCTTCTCGGGCCCTGCACCACTTGGGAAGCTTTGCTAATGACTCCTTCCCCCGAGACACCCGCATTAGCCCCTCAAATGCGTATCTGCCGGGGTGGCCTGCTGCTCCCCACAATGACTCCTTCCCCCGAGACGCCTGCATTAGCCCCTCAAATTCATATCTGCCGGGGTGGCCTGCTGCTCCCCACAGCTCCCATCGTCGGGAACAGTGAACCGCAGCCACTGGGAGCTGCAGGAGGCCAGGCCTCTGGATGGTCAATGTCAGCAAAATGTCTGGTGGCCGGCTAGCAGCTTGCCCTGGTGGGCCGCAGGCTGCCCACCTCTGTCGTGAGCTCTTGGGGGGGAGTCACGCTTCTCAGGATAGTGCCTAACACAAAGGGGCATCGGTCGTGCCTCCAGCTGCTACCCCAATACAAATACATACAGTTTTATTTCTTATTGTTACCATCATCCTCCCCACAGCGGGAAGGGATCAGACAGGCGCTGGGCCTGCGAGTGGCTGCCAGCGCAGAGCACTACGCCTATTGCTTAACTTGATTCGCCCCCACCCGGAGCCAGCGCTCAGACTTGCTCAGGCAAGCACTGTGCCACGCACCGCAGTCACCAGCCCTCAATCGAAGCTGCATCAGCCTCCGGGCCAGCTGGCGTCTGTTACAGATCAGATCCTGCGTGCTCCTCCAGGCACAGGGAAAGCCTCGCAAGTAGCCATTCCACGACTGCTAGAATTGTGCCCCCGTGCGCTGTACCGTCAGATTAATGCTGCAGGCTTGCGGAGCCTTTCGGGACCGTCGTGGGAAGGCTGCTCTGCACTCGAGACTGAACCACGTGAGGAAAGGTGACAGCGGAGAGCCAGCGAGTGACAACTATTTTGCTGTAAACGCTGACAGATCCAGGGAGCCCTTAACCTGCTTGCTTTGGACATGGCTTTGCAAGTTACAATACCATTTCGCCAACGTAGTTTATAGCTCCTCAGGATTTAACTGTATGTACAATGCCAAAAACCCAGGCTGAGACATGCTCTGACCGTGCCCACATCCACATTCTTGAGGAAGGGTAATTACGTTTTTAAACCTCCCCAGGGATCTCTTTTCACACGCACAGGTACAGCCAAGAGGGGCGGCCGTTTGGTTTCAATGCTGCGCGCTGGCACACAAAAAACCTCTGTGCGTCCAAAGGGAATTTCTGCGGTCCCCTAATCTCTCCTTAAGGGCTTATGTGCGCACACATTTAAATCACAGCAAGCCGGTGGGTTTATCTACCCCACCCAACCCTGCCCATGGACAGCCCTTTCCGACACACATCAACGGTTTGTTACTGTACGTCGATCTAGCTCTCTTTGGAAGGGGACTAGATCAAAGCACATTAACAAACGGCAAATGTGTGTCAGCAAGACAGCAGTCTGCAACAACATAGTGCTGGGCAGTCACACCCCAGCTTGCTGCAAACAAATTAATTGCGTGGACAAATCCTAAGGCCATAATACTGTGTTTAGTGTTGGCGTTTTTATAGCATACATTAGACATACCATTTTCTATTGTCCTACAGCATCCACATATTAACTTAGTAGGTGGCAGTATAGCCTAGTGGGTCGGGACCCAGACTAGGACTCATGAGACCTAGATTCAATTTCCAGCTCTTCTGCTGACCTTGGGCAGGTCATTTCTCTCCCCGTGCCTTAGTTTCCCCTTCTGTAAAACCAGGGATACGGGAAAAAGCTTTAAGAGATATTGTGAGGGAAGGTGTGTCAGATTATAACTTCTAGCATGTATTTATCAAACACATCATGCAAAAGACCTCGGGCTCCTGGGAAGCCTTGAGATTGCTGAAATATCCCTGAGTATTTATCAAAATTTTTCTTTCTTTTTAAGCTCACAAAATGCAGGTGTTTTTCCTGCCAGAACTAAGAGGTGCAAAATTACAAGCTGATCGCAGCCTTCAGCTGTTTGTTAATAAGACGCCCTGGGAGTAGTTTCCTTAGGGTTATAGAGGTTTGTTCTTGAGCTGCATGAAAGGACTGGTTTGTAGTAATAAATGCCAAATTATACACTTATAAAATTCATAGACTTTGAAAACCTTATTTATTCTACAAGTTATTGCTGCAAAAAGATCACCACAATTAACAATTGTAACAGCTAATTATTGTGCTTACCCAAGAGATGTTTATACAAAGTGGAGCGAACATACCATTACTCATTCTGTTTTCATATTTATACCCACTTTAAAACAATCTTGTTCATCTAACCAGTAGATTTTACTCCCAAATGGAAACAATTCAAATCAGCATTTCTAAGGTAAAGGCTGAATAGGTTCATGCTACGATGACATCTGAAAAACATGTCCCGTTTGTTGAGAAAGTAAAAAAAAAAAAGGTACATTTCTTACCTGCCCTCACCCCCCCCACCAAAGAGATGAAGAAGAAATACAGCTTCAGCATATGGAGTAAGTCAGTCAGTCGCCATACAACAGCCTCATTCAAACAGAGAGAAGTGTGTCGCAGGCCAGGGCTTTACAATTTCTTTCCCCGGCGCTTGCTCTCGTTCATATCACCGGCACGCTGCAGACTCAAGCAGTGTCAGTAGGTGTGGTGACAAGCAGGAAGTTGATATACCAGGAATAACCCCTAAAATCTCAGATCCAGGCCTGCGCTGCTCGAAAGGGTGAGGCAGTTTCTAATCTTACAGGTTATTTTGTTTCATTTATTCTGATCTGGGGAGTGACTAAGCCAAGCCATGGGCGGTTGGGTAATGCGCACTGAGTGGCACTTGGGTTAGCTGTGTTGAAATTTGGGAGATTACTGGAGGTCTTTTTTGCCGTTCACAAGCAATGCCAGAAAGGCGCCCAAAAGCGCAGCCGTTTCTGCTGGTCTCATATGCCTCGGGTAGGCCCAGCCTTGGCTTCACAGGATCCTAAATGAAATAATTCAGCCCCTTATGAAGAGATCCCCATGACCCCGTGTCTCTATGTGATGGGGCAACACTCGCCTCTTGCGAGCGCCCTCTCTGACCAAGCGTGCGAGCCTGCACCCTCTCTGTGCCAGTTGCCTCTTCGGCAACTCAACCCCCCTGGCCAAGTCACGCACTCCGTGTGAATTGATTACGCACAAACCCCTTCTGGGATACACCTTTAATAGGGACCTATCTCAGTGCCCTCTGTCATGTCCCTTTGAGTCCATTCCCCACTCTGAGAGAGCGTAGTGCCACCAGAGCTTCTTCTCCTGGACACAGCATCTTTGCCTTGACCTCAGGGCTTTATCTCAAAGTCCCATCATAGCGCCTCGGTCTCCAATAGCTCTTCACACTGAGCTCTCTGCAGTGCTGCTGCTGCTGCTCTCTCAGCCAGTCTCCCGGGCTACACACGTTAAGGTCTCCAGAGGCACTGACTGCTGTCTGGCACGTCAGCTCCTTTTATAGGGCTGTCCCCTGATTGGCTGCTTTCTCTGTACCACTCTAGCCTGCTTGGAGGATCACTCTCTATGGCTTTTCTGCGGTGGGGTGTGGCAAAAGCCACCCCCTCAGACCCTAGCATACCTATTCCCCCTGCACCGCCTATCCCCTTGGCATACTGAGATCAACCTCCCCTGCTGAGAGAGCGTGCCTTCTAACAGACTGACCCTCACGCATGCACATGCTGAAGAGTCAGGTGGGGACCCAGCATACCGCCTTTTGAGCAAGGGAGGGAACTTCCAGAATTGAGTCTCAGCTGCATCCTGCCTGGTGCGTGTCTGGCATTTCAAGGCATCCCTCTAGGCAGAGGCCAGTCCTGGGTGCGGGACTAGTCAATATTTACATTCCCGACTTTGATAACGGAGTGGGAATACGCTTATAAAATGCGCAGCTGGGAAGGCTGCCAGTGCACTGGAGCACAGAATCCACCCCCTGCCACCCATTCCCAGCTTCTGACAAACAGAGGCTAGGGCCACCATCCCTGCCCAGCCTGGCTAGTAGCCACTGATGGCCCTATCCTCCATGAATCTATCTAGGCCTTTTTTTAACCCAAACAATAACTCCTGTGTTTGTAATCCCTGGTCGTTTGGAGGCACCTCACATTTGAAACAGAGATTGTCAGGGCTCCTCCAACCAAAATGTAGCAACCAGGGAAATTCTCGACAGTACAGTGAAGACTTAAAGCATCATAATGGTTTTGCCTTTCAAATTATGTTAGAGATCTAGAAAAAATAACTGACTCATTGGAGGCGAATTATCATGACTCACTCATTTGCATTTGTACAGTGGGACTGGTTAGCATTCTTCCAGCCCTGAATTATCATGACTCACTCATTTGCATGTACGGTGGGACTGGTTAGCATTCTTCCAGCCCTGGTTAGTGTGTCCAGGAAATAAACAGAAACTTACTGAATTGAGATCCGACCATTTCCAGTCAGTCCTGATGGGGGCCTGTTCTCTGGTCTCAACTTGTAGTGTGGCTGATAGAATGTGCCAGCCAATCAGAATGCTGGGTGGCTGATTTCCTGCTAAACCACGCGGTTATTAATAAAAGGATCCGTTTTTTAAAATCTGTTGTTAGAAGAAAAGCTATTTCTGGGTTTTATCCCTATGGTTCATTGCCTTGTACCTGCTTCTAAGAAGGCTTTTCTGGGAAGTGGGAGCCAGTTTATGGCGTGTTACCAGCCAGCCTCACTGTCCTTCTTCCACGCCCCCCATCCTTTCCTATGAACATTGCATTTCTTTTACAGTGCTTTTACAGGGCTCTGACTACTACTGCTGCCAATCACTTGGGTCTGGGGGCAACTGCCTCCTTTCCCCCCGATAGCTAGCCCTGATCTTTATTATGAGTCTGAGCTCAGAACTCTACTCACATCTGTGGCATTCTGATCTTTTAACCAACACTCTCTCTATCTCTATTCTTTTTTTTAAAATAAATATTAGTTTAATTAATAAGAATTGGCGGTAAGCATGTATTCGGGTAATATCTGAAGTATTCATTAATTAGGTGGGTAATGTGTCTGATCCTTTGGCATTGGTAGAACTTCTGTGATGATTAATAGAAATGTAGCCGTGTTAGTCTGGTGTAGCTGAAGCAAAATACAGGACTATGTAGCACTTTAAAGACTAACAAGATGGTTTATTAGATGATGAGCTTTTGTGGGCCAGACCCACTTCCTCAGATCAAATAGTGGAAGAAAATGAAGTGGGTCTGGCCCACGAAAGCTCATCATCTAATAAACCATCTTGTTAGTCTTTAAAGTGCTACCTAGTCCTGCATTTTGTGATGATTAAGATTTTCATTATGCCTCATCATATCTGACTTGGGTGTCTAGGTGGAGGCCCAAGCTGCATTGCTATAAGGGAACTGGCCCTTAGCCTCTGTGTAACCAGTAAGGTATTATCATACCTGCTTTGTGCTGGGTTGGTATGCCTAAGTATTGGAATATCCACTAGCTCTGGGAGATTGCCTGATCCATTCTTTACAGTTTGCCCTAATTGAATAACCTAAGAATGACTGCTCAGGGACCCCGATCACAACAAGGTTTGCCTTGGGAGGTATCATGTGAAAACTCACAATCTGATGATCGTTATTGTCCTGGTCAAATATATGCAGCACCGTTGTATGTAAAGTTATGAATTCCACTGTATGGTGCTATGTTCCAAGCCTGGGGAGAGGCAAAGCAGTTCCTCAGAGATAAGAGCAACCTGCGACTCAGCCAGGTGTAAACAAGATCAAATGGGCCATAACTTGCAAAGTGGCTATTCATTGGCAGGAAAAGGGACGTGAGTGAAAAAAATTGACATCTTAACAAGGGAACAGCATGATATTTCCATCCTCACAGTCTATCTATCGCCACTGTCCCAGCTGGAGATGCTTCTGAAAGGAAGGAGAGGACTATAAAACGGAGGGGCAGACCCCCCAAAGGATCCCCACTCCACTTCAGTCTTGATTTTTCACACTTGCTGTCTGGTCATTCTACCTCCACTTCAGTCTTGATTTTTCACACGTCTGGTCACTCTAGGTGAATGACATGGAGCTGCAGAAGGCACAGACGTGTGGGCTGAGGGCAAGACACAGAATTAATGAATTAGAATGTCAGGGTTTGGGGGAGAAGATGGAAGCTCCGGGCCAGGGGGTAGGAGCGAGAGCCTCCACAGGAGGCAGAGTGCCTGAGAGAGCTAGCAGCATGACAACTATCACACGCACTCAAAGGAGAGCAGGCAGCATGACACTGTCTCGGACACACGCTCAGGGGGAAATGAAGTTCGAAAAGGAAAAGACAGACTTAAGACCACACTTTAATCTTTGTAAATCCAGGTCTGGCTTTGAGGGTCAATGTTGTGATTAATGAGGGGCTCTGAGGGTGTGTCTAAACTACATGGCTCCGTCAATGGAGCCATGTAGATTAGGCTGATCAGCAGAGGGAAATGAGCCGCGATTTAAATAATCGTGGCTTCATTTAAATTTAAATGGCGGCCGCGCTGAGCCAACAAACAGCTGATCAGCGATCTGATCTCAGTGTCTGCGTTGCTCTGCTGTAGGCTGTGACTCCAACTCTGTGTCATCACTGAAGACAGGAGGGTCTGGCTAAGCAAAACAGGATAGTGGAGTATCCCAGGGGGCAAGTCGTCTGGCCCAGTGGTATTTTAGAATATCAGGTGATACTCTCAAAGGGATCTCTGTGACCAAACCCATCAAATTGTAGTAGCATCAGTTTCCTGCGTGGTGGGAGGGCACAACATTAAGGCTGCGTCTACACTGGTGGCTTCTTGCACAAGAACAGCTGTTCTTGTGCAAAAACTTGCTGGGTGTCTACACTGCACGTGCGTTCTTGTGCAAGTAAATTTACAGACTCGAGTCAGAAAACAGGGCTTCTTCTGGAAGAGTTATTCCTCTCCCCACGAGGAATAAGCCCTCTTGCGCAAGAGGGCAGTGTAGACAGGCAACATGAATTTCTTGCGCAAGAAACCCCTGTGGCTAAAATGGCCATCAGAGCTTTCTTGCGCAAGAGAACGTCCACACTGCCATAGATGCTCTTGTGCAAAAGCACATGCCAGTGTAGACATGCTCTTGTGGAAGACTTTTTGCACAAGAACTCTTCAACATAACAGTTCTTGTGCAAGAAGCTGCCAGTGTAGACGTAACCCTTAGGAGTTTGAACTTTTGGGGCAGGCTATGCAGAGGATAGGAGCTAAGCAGAGAAAATTCAGAGCAGAGTCCTGAACAAGGGGAAAATCTGCGTGTCCTGAGTGACTGAGCAATATTTGTTCCTGAGGTTTTTAACCTTATAGTTGTTTATATTTTTTGGCCTCTTATTTTAGCCCTTCAGTTTGCTGACTTTTCAGTTGGCTTGGTCAGGTTCAAAGGTCAATAGGGGCTTCACCTGACATGGCTGACTGAAAAGACAATAACGGCACTGAGGAAATGAGATCAAAAGCCTGTCAGAGGTTGTCCGTATCGCCTGGCACTCCCCGCTTCCCATGAGCAGGGATTTGAAAGCTGGAAAAGAATTAACTGAATTAAAGCTGCCTGGCTGCTGGATGGTGAACACAGCTGATTGAAAGGAAATAGAGGCTGCTACTTTGGTGGAAAGGAGGGGAGGCTTTATAAGAGGTTCAGCTGCTTGGGAGGAGCCTTGGCCACAGGCCTTCTGTAGAAGTGAGTTTGGAAGCAGGTGCTGTGAGTAATTGCAGGGGTGGGAAGTAAGGTGGCTGAGCAGAGCAGAAGCCAGGCGTGGTGACTCAGCTGCCAAACTTACAGGGTCTCTTGGGTGATGCTCCATGCAAACTATGTAAGGGACTGATTTGTGTAGAACCACACATTTGTAATATCAACAGTGGGGTAATGTAGGGCAAGCTTGCAGTAGCTGTGACCCTGCCAGAGAACTTCATCTTACTTCCCCTTGGTAGGTATGGGAAAGGGCTTACATTATGATGGCTGGGGTCATCTACTCTTCATGGCCTCTCTGCTGTATCGGTCAAGTGGTGGGAAGTGTATGTGTGTGTGGGGGGGGAGGGTGTCTATGCTGCAGGATCTCCCTTCATCTCTGGCCAGCAAACAGCCAGCTGAGGAGAACATTTTATAATCCCTCCTGAACTGGGCTAGATTCAAATTGGTGTCCTACAGGGGAAAAGTTCTGTGGGTCATTAGCAATATTTCATGAGCATTTCCTAGCTTGAGTGCTAGGCTAGATTCAAATTGGTGCCCTACAGGGGAAAAGCTCTGTGGGTCATTAGCTGTATTTCATGAGCATTTCCTAGCTTGAGTGAGTGACTTTACAACCATTTGTTGGCTTTTAATTTTTTTTCTGTTACAGACTAACACAGCTACCCCGTGAACCTTCCTAAATTCTTTTAATGCAGCTTGTCAATGTAACGCCTTGGCCTTCCTAAGTTCTTTTAATGCAGCTTGTCAATGTAACGCCTTGGCTTTTCTTGCAGTGAAAAGGTAAAAAAAATCCATTAAGTGCAACTGTAATCCCACCACCCCCAGCATGTTGGTTTGGAGCCACACCTGTTAACGTTGATGGCTGTTCCTTGGGCTACCAGGTTTTGCTGGCTGGGAGCAGGAGGCTGTTCTTATGTGAGCCTGCATTAGAGGAGGATGCATAATCAGCTGTTTCAGTGTGTTATGTAAGCATGAATAACCCCATTTTACAGACTGCACAGTTAAGGAAAAAGATATGCCCTGTGCTTTCTGAGAGGAAATTTGGGTTGGCTGTATTCATATTCCTGGGTTCTATCTCCAGCTTAGGTAATCTCTTTGAGGGATATGTTTAGTAACAACTGGGAAGGAGAGCCACTTATCAACAGTCAGTGGAAATGAAATTGGAACACATGCATGCCTGCCTTCCAATATGATGCACATCCTCCTACGCCAAAGGCTGTTTTAATAGGGAAGCAACACCAGGATCATCGTCCATTCTCTTATTGGGCATATGAATTCTGTGATCCAATGAAGTGAGACGTTAGGGCAATACTGACAGGAAGATCAATGGCGTTGAGGTATTTTAATATGGTGACAGAGAGCTGTGATGGTAAGTTACAATCTTCAGCAGTGTAGAACTGTCACAAATCGGAATGGATATTCCTAAGGACAGAAAAATGCATCTCTCCTTGCCAGACCTCTCTGTCCTGCTGCATACCAGCTCTTGTCCACTTTTCATACAGAAAGTGTCAGGCGCTTACCAGATCAGGCTGAAAGATCACTCCTTAAGGCTAGTATATTCCATTGCTCAGCCATGAGCAGGAGACCTGATTGTACGCATCACTGGTATGCTACACCCTGTAGTGGAGAACTGCTAAATTAGCTGCTTGTATATTGCAAAGTAGACCGATGACGCACAGGGACTCTTGCTGCACCTCTTGTCCGTCATGTCAGCTGTGCGATAGAGAAGCCTTGTTACTTAAGCACCTCTAAAGGTCTCAGGAAAACAGAGAAGCAACAGCCCATCCATGGGTAAATTTGTAATGTTCAGAAAAGGTATTTTATTTTTATTTTTGGCCTGCCCCACGTCCATATAATGAAAAGAACTTGTACTTTCAGATTTTGAGGGCTATGCCTAATTGAATAGTAGAAGTTCTTTTGAAAAGGTGAACACATTTTACATAGCTTTTGAAATGGGCTTCAAAACTAATTTTTGAAATTGTGAGTTGAGTGAGGTAATCTTTTCTTGGACCAATGTTTGCTTGGCAGAGAGAGATGAGGTTAGGATCTTACACACAGCTCTTCTTCAGGTCATTTCTGAAGTGTTTAACATTTTTTGTCCTGCTTAGTCACAAAACTGAAGACTTTACCAAGTACCTTCTGGTATGGTGCCCATCAACAATTTGTGTGTATTGCTCAGGTGTGGAACCACCATGAGCTCTGTAAATAATAAACATGCTAGGGAGGGTGGGACATGAACCCAAGCAATGGGCAGCACTCCAGCACTAGAAGGTAAAATGTTGAAGGTGAGCAGTAGCTGGAAACCAGGAATGAATCTTTGCTGTTGAAATTGATGGAGGAAACAGCTAGTGGAAAACAGAGGGGTGTTTTTTTTGGGGGGGGAGAGAGGAGAAAGTGTGAAGTGGGGGCATTGGTGGGAGAGGGCATTGCCAGGGTAAGGAGTGGGGGTGAGTGTGCTGTGAGGGAGGGATGTGTTTGGGGTGGGTGTGCTGGTCAGGGGAGGAGGGGTCGGAGTGGGTGTGCTGGTCAGTGGGGGAGAGGGACGAGGTGTGTGTGTTGAGGGAGG